GTGATTTCAGCTGGTTTCTTTTATCTGGCACATTTCTTATTAAGAAACAAGAAACTTTTGTTAGAAACAAAGAAAAGACAATTGAACTATTATGCAATATCAGTTTTCTTATAGAGAATAAAAAAGTTAAAATATAGAGAATAAAAAAATAAAATATAGAGAATAAAAAAGATAAAATAATAAAAAAAATAAAATATAGAGAATAAAAAAAAGATAAACTATAGAGAATAAAAAGATAAAATATAGAGATAAAATAAAAAAAAAAAGATAAAATATAGAGAATAAAAAAAGATAAACTATAGAGAATAAAAAAATAAAATATAGATAAAAAAAAAAAAAATATATAGAGAATAAAAAATAAAAATAGAGAATAAAAAGAAAACTAAAAAGATAAAATATAGAGAATAAAAAAGATAAACTATAGAGAATAAAAAAGATAAAATATAGAGAATAAAAAAGATAAAATATAGAGAATAAAAAAATAAAATATAGAGAATAAAAAAGATAAACTATAGAGAATAAAAAAGATAAAATATAGAGAATAAAAAAGATAAAATAAAAATAAAAAAGATAAACTATAGAGAATAAAAAAGATAAAATATAGAGAATAATATAGATAAAATTCTCCCAGATAAAGAAGAGACTTAAGGTAACTGAAATGTGGTTTGACAGAATGGTGATATTACCCTTTTACTTATAAGGTTGAAATTTATAAAATCTTTATCTTAAAACAATTTTTCATGAAGTCCAGTAGCTGTTATCACTCTTTTCAGTATTGATGGTGGTTTCCTTCCTAATCTTTTGTTAGAAGTAGTGTGCAATGTCAAATATCTTCATTGTGTCATTATTTGCTCTTCGAGTTACACGTGATATTTATTTTAGTTGTTACTGGTGATGGCAGTCCTCAGGTAATGCGGTTTGTGTTATTCGGTACAGTTATCTGTGATTATGTAGCGCCAGACCACAAGGTCGAAAGAAGACGAGTTTTTGCCAAGATCCACCGGATTCACTCGCTCAAAGATCTTTTTTAACCACTGATGTATGAAATCAGTAGTTTACAACTGTCAGTTTAGATATTTCTGGACAGGTTTGCCGACATGCAAGGAATCCATATGAAAACCTCGATCTGACGAGGTTATGTAAGGAAAATGATTCCAGTTTTTCCGGTTCCTGTTTTTGCTTCGTAGATATTTACGCTGTTGGGTGAAGTTACCTCTAATACAGTCTATTCTATGTTCAATTTCCTTTTCTCTTATAATAAAATTGTTATAACTTATCTATGCACCGAGGTATTTGAGATGTTTAGTATTTACTTATTCCACATTCTCAATTTTGATAGATTGAGTGTTTGTGCAATCACTGTATTCTTAACGCTATGTATCTTCATCTCTAAAGACGTCGAAGAAAGTAGTTTTCATTTAAAACACATTACACTTGTTTAAAATTGTGTTGCGTCAGTTCACAATTTTCAAAGAACGATGGTCTTTGCTAAGATCCACATGCTTTACTCGCTCAAAGCCATTTTTAACCATTGACCTGTGAAAGCCGTTGTCTACAGCTGACAGTTTAGAGATTTCTAAACGAGTTTGGCGCCATGCAAGTCTTCCATATGAACGTCTGGATAAGACGAAGCTATTTCAGAATTTGGGCTTTCAAATTAATGTTTGTTTTTTGGCAATGAACAATACTATTTCAAAAAATAAATCTTCCTATTACACCATGGTGAAATTGCATCTCATAATATCGCTATTACCAGTAGCAATAATACATCATGTTAACACAACGAATACAACATATAAACGTGATTAGAATTACGAAGCGGATCTATTGGTAATTTGCAATCCACTGGGATGTGGCCACATAAACCAATGTTATATGGGAAAAGAAAGCAAAATCTATCTCTGGGTATAGAAAACTGAAGGTTTTCTGAGTATGTGATAGATTTAATCAACCAATCCAAGAAAGAAGATACTGCCGCCAGAAACAATACGAAAACTTGTCAGATGTTGGAATGGACATAAAATAAAATAAAATAAAAAAGATGTAGAAATATCAAGAAATCGCAAGAAAGGACCTTGGATCACGAAGATGACCATAGTTACACTCATCTTTCAATTAGAACGTCCTCAAAGTACCTAGCTAAAAGGCGGGAATGATTTAAAATCCACTGACTCAACAAAACCAACCAGTTGACAGTTGATGTAATGAATATGCATACACCTGGGTTCCCTTTCACATTAATATGATTGGCTGGTGTCAGCCATAAATACAGACTGATGTGGAGGTACAAGAGGGCGCCTATTGCCTACACCAATAGTCATCGCCTATTGCCTACGCCTATTGCCTACCACTACGACGAGGACCAGTTCATTACGGTTACCTCTTAGATTGTCCTACTCGGTTACAGTAGTCCTGTTGTGGTAGGATCCACCTAATTTGCATAGTGGAGTACCGACCATATAAATATGGTTGGTACCGGGAAGACGAGGGGTGGGGAATCAAGAGATTCAATCCAGAGACTCTGCCCGACTGCGACTAAGTCAACACATTCTCCAGGAACGGTCTTACCAGGAATATACAAAAGACTATATGTAAATATTGTGTACACTTTCTTGTTTCAATACATTTTGTTCTAAGTACATTTTGTGTTGTATTATTATTCCATGCATTAGTCAAGTTTCAACAAGTCCAAAACCACTTTGCTACTTCGGAAAAATATACCCTTTTCTAGGACATATTAACAATAATGACAAAATGGACGTAATACTAAGGAGAGTGCTGGTGTATTGAAAAAAGAACTATTATTATTCAATCTCCAGATATTTAATGTGAACAGTCACATACATAAAAAAATAATATTAATACTTACTTTGCGTATGGTGAAAATAGGGATTCTAATGTTTATATTCGGTCTGAAAATAGTAGACTATTTAGAACATTTCTAGAAACAGCCATGCAAGAGTTGAGGCTGTGAAGACTACGTTGTTGCTGAGGTCCTTGCGAATACGTAATAGAGTCTATGAGGTTGTAGGAGATTTGCTTCCCATTGTATTACCATATTTTCAGCAATAGTTTCACCAGTTTTAACCTTCACGGTTAAGACCCGCTATGCTACGAAAATTGTAGTGAACCGCCCTAGAGCAATTTCTTCCAGGAACCGCAGCTTGTAGTACCGACCCCCAAGAGGATACTTTCCCGATCACTACAAGCTTAACATTTTTAAGTCTAGGGTTGACCGTTTTCTTCTACACATATCCCCTAAATTGTGCCTCTTCTTCTGTACTCCTCTACCGCGAGTGGCTCTTGGGACCTCTAGAGGATGAACATTATTTTAAGAAAAATTACACACCAAACATCTAAAGGAATATGACAAAGACTATAGTAGACAATCAGAAATGTAAAAATAAAATCCATGGAATCTTCTCCAAGAAACCAGATTTAAAGAGTAGAATAAATTTCTGATTTCATTGGAGGCAGTTAATCTGAACGAAAAATATTTTCACTATTTACATTATTCGGACTATTGTCCTCATCTTTGTCGCCATATTTATTACAACGTTTCGGCCGTTGTACGCTCCGGCCTTCTAGTTGGAATGTCGAACTGAAGCCTTTATTTTGATCACTGGGTTAGACAGTTCTAGTTGCACATGGCATGTTTAATGGATGTCAGTTATCAGTTATCTCCTGTTAATTCCCCTCTCCAAGTTCTACACTGACTTAACCGGGTATTGTACTCACACTCTTTGGGTCCTGTTACTGGATCTAACCAACGCCTTTATTCACTGTGCCATGTGTCCTTGAGGACATCTGTGTATGAATATTTGGGTATTATAAACCTAATGTCTTCAGCAACTATTTTTTTACCAGTGATCATATTGCGATTTTTTGCTGTTATCATTTGCTGATCACATATTGAGAGAGAAGGGAGATCACCGTCCTCTGTGGAATCAGGTTGAGATCATAGACAGATGCTAGGCCACAAAAATCTCCTGAGCCGACCAAGCATAGAAATGAATACAATATGGGAACCAGTAATAAGGAGTGCCGGAGAAAAGAGATAATAACAAAAAAATGCAATATAAACTTTGGTAATCAGAACGAAAAATATTTTTAATCAATTCTACTCCGTTTAACTTCTGTTTTTGTAAACATTACCTAAGACCTTTCGAATTTTCCATGTTTACATTTACCAAAAATACCTTTTGGAATTGTCAGTATTTTTGGGAAGGCTATTAACGCTACAGAAATGTTAACTTACGAAGATGTTATTATAACTTTACAGATGACATTCAATCTTGAACGACGTAATAAAAGATACAAATTAGTTGTCAAGATGCAAAAAAAAAACACTTGTATTTCTGCTATGGTAACAAAGCCAACTGAGTACTTTAATAAAGAACACTTTATTGCTCATGGCTACATTTTAGCAACGTTCGGTTGTATCATCAAAGATTTCTCGACATAAATTATTTCCTATTCTTTATACAATGAACCAGAGATGGTTTAATAAACTCGGTTATGGACAAGATAACCCCAAGGCCAGGAATGAACCCTTGTGGACTAAAATAGTGATAACTTGTGAGTCAGGAAATGGCTGACAAGGCCTGACCACGGAGGTCGTAGTCTTGGTCACAGGGCAAAGGTTTGCAGTAATGCATTGTGGGAAAATCTCAGCCTGGCCAAAGAAAACAATAACCTGATTATTAAGCTTAGAATTTGTAATCGGAAACTTGACAAACGTCCATCTGAAATGCCCTGTAGCGAAAAATAGCTGGAAAAGGAGATTAGATTTTAAGGCTAATCCGTTGCATATTCTGGTAGAAGAGGAAATCTGCGATGATGTCATTTGTTGCAAGATTCCTGATTCCTTGTGGCACAGTGCCGAATGTTTATTGTTCAAAAGATAGAA